AGGAGAGAGGAGGCAGGTGGGCGTCTCTAGGAAGAGAATGACCAGGACACTGGCGGGGAAGCAGGGGTTGTGTCCAGGCACACGCTGGGGACCCTGGGAAGCATGACAGGATACTAGGTGACACAGGTAGGGGCCCTGGGGGGACACTGGGGGTCTAGTTAAGGAATGACGTGAATGGGGCCAAATTTGAGGAAGGTTCCTGTTAGTTTGGAGCAATCACTGGAAAGGAGAACTTTCTTTAGAATAAACTTGTCAAGTACATAAGTAAATATGACAAAATGATCTTACATTGCAGCTAGTAATAAAACATTGTATGTTTTGGAAGTTATCTCTAAAATAAATATTTAAGTTACAAAATATCAGAATACGAAGAATCATTCCAGAGTCTAAATGTAATGAAGTTTCTCTGAATAGTTAAAAAGATCTTCTTTATAGAGTATGGCAAAGTATAGGTTTATAATTTTTACTCATTCAACAAAAATTTATCAAATGCCTTCTACACAGGAGGCCCCACCCTAAGCAAAGATAAAGATATAAAGATGGGAAACCATAGTGGTCTGGTAGTCACTGTGAGTCACTTTGTAGCTTCCTTAACAAATGCCCATTACGTTCAGGAAAAGGTCACGAAAACCGTCTATAACATTCACTCACCATGTTACAGAAGAAAAGCAGTGCATTACCACATGCAGTGACTAGAAAAACACACTAAAATGTTAATGATTGTTTTCTTCTTCAAGTAAAGATAATTTGTACTTTTCAAAGTTTTTACAATGAACTTATTTTGTAGACAGAACAAAACCTGTTAAAATAAATTTTAAAAAGGTACCTGTTTTTAAAGGCTTTTTTAATCGAGGAAGGGTAATAAGACATGCGTGTGCACGTTACTATGACACAATAGGCTAGAGAGAGAGATCTGTGAGCTGCAAGCCCAGGAGCCAGGTCCCTGGGAAACGCAGCTCTTCTCGGACCAGCAGACTGGTGAGCCCACGCCTCTTTGTGCACTGGCGTGTGCTGGGCGGGTCACTTCCCACTCCGCCTCCCAGGCTTTAGCTGTTGGGGGTTAGGGTTGATGTGAGCATTAAATAAGGTGCCGGGTGGAAGAATGGGGCCTTCACTTAGTAAGCGCACTATAAATAGTTATTAAATTTAAAAAAACTCTAGGTATCAATGTTCTCACTTTGAAATGCATGGGATGGAGAGAAGGAAATAGTAAATAATAAATAAGCAAACCACATTTTATCACAGCTATGCCGCAGGTGTTACACACATTACAAAAGAAAGTACAGCTCAGAAGAATAACTATACATAACTCCTCTCTAAAATCAATCAATAAAAAACATATTTAATAAATAATAAGTAAAATACAGGAAGGGAAGAAGAAAACGAGAAATATGCCTGGACAGGAGAGCAGCAGCGGGAGGCCACGCAGCCCTGTACAAAGTACAACTTCTTACTCACATATTTAATATGTTAAGACATTTAAAAAATACCTTTAAATTAACAGACCCCTACTCCTTATTACAGACACAGAACTACACTAGGGACTAAAGATACCATGAAGAAGCAGAGCCATGGTGGCGATCCTATCAGCAGACTACAGTGCAAAGTTTGACTCTGTCATTCATTTACTACCTGTGACCTTGAGTAGCAGCAGGGAGGGTCACAGGCCCCAGGGGCTGGCTTGCTAAGCCAGCTCTGCAGGGAGCCTTCACCGATGGGTCCTCACAGCAATCCTACGGAACAGGTACTGCTGCGTTCCCCGTGTTACAAATGAGCATCTAACCCAGAGACAGAAGGAAGGGAATAGCAGGCACCCCAAGGGACGGAAAAGGTGCAAGTTCACCGGGACAGCGGCGAACTAGGCAAACTAGTGATGGAACCCGGCTCCCTAGTCCCAGCCTTCGCTCTCTGTGGCCCGAGTGCAGTGAGCCTTCACGTTCACACTTCATACTGTAGAGGCTGAGACCCTACCATCTACGGTCAGCACCAGGCCTCCGCCAAAACTCGTCTCCAGCCACTGATGCTGCTGTTAGAGAAAACACAGGATTTGCAAAAGGATTTCAAAAGAAAAAATTAATTTTGTCACCAAGTTAAGCTATTTAGAATTATTCTTAATACACAAGTTTATAGAGACTAAAAATGACTTCTTTTCTAAACAAAACAATGTTTTTGTTTAGAAACTGTAACATGCAGGCCCTCTTGTGGCTTCGAACGCTCTCTGCCGCCACAGTCTGCAAACTCTGCGAATCACCTAATTTGGGGCCTTGTGAACTGGTTCCACCACTTCCGCTCACAAAGGTGAAGCAGGGGCAGGTGGCTGGAAATGTGTCCATGTTCCCGACTCAGCAGGAGCGTGAAGAGGGGCCAGCACGCTCGCCACCCGCCACCGGCTTCCAGCCGACAGCAGTGCACAGGGCAGGTCTGGAGGCGCGAGAAGGGCGTGCGCACTGGGCACGGGGACCTGGGATTTCAGAGTGAAGCTCCTTCTAAGAAAGATGGCAGGAGGACCTACCTCTTCACACTGCATTAAAGCAAGTACGGGCGCAGGAGGCCTTTTCAGTGAAGAAGCTTAAAAGTGTGGGTCTGCCGCTACGGCCCCCTGCTCGCGGGTCATGGAACCCTGGAGTCAGGATGCAGGCCACAGAGAAGGCTGCGTGCGGCCCTGGCTCCCAGAGAAGTAAGGTGGCAAATGGACATTTTCCTCCATCTGTACTGAGAGCGGCACGTTCGGTTTTGACCAAAATATGCGAAAAGGGGGCATTCCGCACCGCCAGACCTCCCGCTGGGGCCTGGCCGATCGGCTTGACCGTGAGCGCCCAGGGAATCCTGGCCCCTGTGGCTGTCACCTCCCGGGCACTGACCACAGGGGCGCCCTCCCCGCGGGGACCTTCACTCACCGAGAACACCGCGTTCTGCAGCCCGAACGGGATGGGCGTCAGTCGGGCCAGCGCCACCACCTTGAGGCCGCCGGCGCCCTGCACCACG